ATGCATCTTGCTGTCCTCTGTTGTTTGTCATGTCTAGCACCTCCAAAATCTTGCCAAGTGATGAAAAAAAAATTACTTAAACTATCTCATGCGATAGATCCAAGAAATGACCTCATGCTTAAACCAAAATATATCCCTCAGAATTGACTAAATATATTCTAAATGATAAATAATTACTCCTAAAAATTAAAAACTAGGAAAAGACATAATTAAATTCTTCCCCTTCTTTTTTTTCTTTTTCTTCTTCTTCTTCTTCTTCTTCTTTTATTTTTCTACTTCTTCTTCTTCTTCTTGTCCTTCTTATCTTTCTTCTTTTCCTGGTTCTCCAACTTCTACTTTTTCTTTTTCTTCTCCTCCTTCTTCTTCTTCTCCTTCTTTTCTTCTTCTTTTTTCCCTTCTTCTTCATCTTTTCCTTTTTTTTTTAATTCTTTTTCTTCTCATTTTTCTGCTTCTTCTCCTTCTTCCCTTTGTTTTTCTTCTTCTTTTTCTCCTTCTTTCACTTTTTCATCTTCGTCTTCTTCTTTTACTTTTTCATCATCTTCTTCTTCTTTTTCTTTTTCTTCTTTTTCTTCTCTTTCTTCTTCTAATTCTTCTTTTTCTTCTTTTAGTTCTTCTTCTTCTTCTCCTTATTCTTCTTGTTCTTCTTGTTCTTCTCCATCTTCTTCTTGTTCTTCTTGTTCTTCTCCTTTTTCTTCTTGTTCTTCTTGTTCTTCTCCTTCTTCTTCATCTTCTCCTTTTTTTTTCTTTTTATTCTTATTCTTCTTCTGCTTTTCCTTTTTTTTTTTTCTTCTCCTTCTTTTTCTTTTCTTCCTTTTCTTCTTGTCCTTCTTCTCCATCTTTGCGTCACTACTTTCGTCAGAGGATATGCGGTCATCCACAAGGAGTGATCTTCTTATGTCCTTCCAGACCAAATGGGAGAGGAAAAAATAGATACCCTAGATGGGGTTAGGGGAATAGATACGCCTTGGAAAGACTAACGAGACATTTGATGCATTATGCATGTCAATGCAGATACATACTTCAGACCATTCATGCTTCATTCAACATTTCTTTTTCTTTTTTTTTTGTTTCTTTTATTTTTCGGGTAACACATATTATTTTTATGCTATGCAAATCATTAGTGTCTATAAATCACATAGCATGCTTGAAATTAAGCACAGTTAAGCTTATTAGATCTACAAACATAAAAGCATGCAAAAGAGGCAAAATCACAATTATCATATTTAATAATTTTTTTTATATCTAAAAATACCCCATAAGACGTTTAAAGAAATACTAAATTTCTTACTAAAATCTTGATATTTTCTTCTACACCGTTCTTTTTTTCTTTCTCTCCTTCTTTCTCTAGATCACTCTCTCTCTTTAATTCTTCAAGAATGGAAGTGTGCAGAAAAATAAAAAGGGAAGGTCCTATTTATAGAAATTAGGAACCATCGGATTCAGCCCAAGTGATGAAATCCATTGAAAACAGAGAGGAAAAAGATACTTGGCACAAAAAATAAGGGAAGAGAGTCTCCTCTACCAGAGTGTGTGCACTGCTTGAGGTGATGGCGGTGCACCGCAGGCTAGCTGTAGGTGTATGGCCTTCTTACTCCACGCGCAGGCCTCAGGAGCACAGGGGCCTATCCGTGCAAGCCTGCTGCACAGACAGTGCATGCATAGTGTGTGATGCCTGTCCACAGACGAGGAGACACGTGGACGGCCTCCCTACGCATGATAGGACACGTGCAGGATCTGACCCTGCACTTTGCACGAGGATGGGACGTACGCAGTGTGTAATGCATTACTAAGCACTATATTCATGTCATTTCCAAAACATAAATCAAAATGTCTTTGTTGTAAGGAATCTAGGATGTCAACACTGTATACACAAGATAAGTCAGTTGGATACTTCATGGCATCATAGACATAGAACTTAACCACTTCCCCATCGAACTCCATATTGAGGGTACCGTCCTACACATCAATCTTGGTTTTGGCAATGTTGAGAAACATTCTCCTAATAGAAGGTCAGATGAGTTTAGAGACTTATCATCCTCCATGTCCAATACATAGAAATTAGCTAAAAAGATGAGATTGTCCACTTACATTGATAAATCTTTTAATACTCCCTTGGGATAGACAATGGATCTTTTAGTTAATTGGATAATGACTTTTATTTGCTTCAGCGATCAAGCCTTTAGTTGGGAATAAATGAATAATGGCGTTACGTTGATTGAGGCTCTAAGGTCACACATGGCCTTCCTTACTCCTAAAGCACCAATTTTATATGAAATGGCAAACATATCTTGGTCTTTGCATTTATGACGCAACTTTATTTGTATGATGGCCGACATATTCTCCCCCACATTGATTCTCTCATTACAGCTCAATTTCTTTTTATGTGTGCACAATTCTTTTAAGAATTTGGCATAACAAGGTATTTGCTTGATTGCATCAAGAAGGGAAATATTCATTTCTACTTTGCAGAAAGTTTTTAAAATCTCTCTATCCTCTTTTTCTCTCTTTACCTTGGTGAACCTCTTTGGGAATGGTGGCTTCACTGCGAATGGCTCAGGTTAACCAGAATCTTGTTCTGCTTTATGGTTGTTTTCATTATAAGTGGGTTTAGAAGGCTTGTCTAAGGCTTCTGATCCTTTCCGAAGGCTTGGCTGCCAAGGGATCTCTTACAACTCCTTGTTGTTCCTTGACATGATTGAGCTCACGTTAGGCCTTGGATTCACTTCGGTCTGAGAAGGTAATTTACCTTGAGACTCTAGATTGCTTACAGATATTGCGAGATGGCTCATCTAGGTTGCCAAATTTTGGATACTGACCCTTATTTCCTATTGAATAGTTGTAAGCGATTTTACTATTTCTTCGAGGGACATACCTTATTTAAGGGCAGCTATTTGCTGTTGGGGAGGTGGTCAGGCTTGGAGTAATTGAAAATTCTATTATCTAAGCCCATAGCTAAAATTTGGGTGGTCCCTCCATTCGAGATTGTACATGTTTGAGTAGGGGTCATATCTCCTTTATTGCTAATTCTGGAATCCTCCCACAGTGTTGACATGATGCTCATCATCTTCTTGAAGTGTGGGACAAATATATGTCAGGTGCCTTGTATGTGCGTATATCCCACATACCGTCGCTCGTGGTTTGTTTTCTGCAATCGTGTTCAATACTAGTGTGTTAGCTTAGAAATCCGAGATTTAATGGAAGAAATACTCACCTCATTCACTCTCCTTAAAATGTCTCATGAGGTTTTAGTAATAGTGCCAAAATTTAATGGGTACCAAGTCCATAAAAAATAAATTC